TAGCTTGAAGGAAATACAGGGTCTTTGCCTGGTTTTTGTAAGAGACTGATATTTGCAGAGTTCATATTTGGTGGTAGTCTACCATTTTCTTTGATTTCCTGCAACATCCTGTGAAAAACTGGTGCCAGAATTGTCCAGAATTCTTTGTAAAAATCTGTTGGAAAACCATCTGGACCTGGAGCCTTATTATTGAGCATACTTATCAGAGCTTCCTGGAGTTCATTAGTTGATCCTCTTTAAAAGAGCAGTTTGACTGTGATGAGATGTTTACTTGGACTCTGAACAGGCTCATAGGCAAACTATAAAACTGGAGATGTGATATGAGACACTGGTTCAGGTGGTGGATTGCAGTTTGATTTTGATGTGCATGTTGTTTTATGGAGGATCATAGTCCATTATTATTTCCAGTTTGTGAAACATTTATCATCATCTTTCCTTCATGAAATATGTTTCAGCATTTTTCAAATTTTTTAAATGTCCAAACTCTTTGAAATAAATAGTGTCAGTCAATTAATTTGATCCACCAGAACACCCATTCCATGTTCTGTTGTCACGTTCTGTGTTACAGTCTATTATAGACTGTAAATCACTACAGACTATATAGAATTCATATAGACGCTATATTATAAACACAAATATCCTATATTACAAACCAAATGGTGAAACAGTAAACTTTACTGTTTTGAAGCCACCAAGATATTTGAAATGAACAGAGGCAGAGGAAACTGGATAATTTATTAATTTATTTTATATTATTAAGTCTAAGAAACACTCAATGCTACATAAAACTAATTAGATCTGCTCTTTCTATTCTACTTGGATCTTGATGGTGATCAGTGATTGGATTGAATCTTTGAGCTGTGATCCCACGGCAGAAAATAACAGAGCTGTTGCTAAGGTAACATGATTTTTAGGGGGTTGTTGGTCTAGCTGCTCTGACTGGACATAGTAGACTGTTATCATGTTTTGTTCAGGATGTCAGAGTCAGAGCATGAGGTTATTACAGATTAATCATTTATGAGATGAAAGCATCATATTAAGGTGGAACAGCTGACTTTTGACCTGTGAGCTCGAGCTTAAGACTCTTTCATGGTTTCAAATGTTTAATATGACGACAGCCCTCACACATAGAGGACTGATGACAGAGATGATTCAGAGGAATTTCTTTTTTTCTGTCCAGAGAGCTGCAGAGTGAAGTTCACGGGAAATAGCTGAGTGAGTAGAAATCTGACTCATTAGAGTTTTTAAGAGTTCCTTTTCATCACAAAGCAAAGTTTCATTTATGTGGAGAACAGATGAAGACTCATTTGGATAAAGACTCAAAACCAAAAAGCTGATCCAGTATAACTCTATATTACATCTCAGTAATAATACTATATAAAAAAAAAAATAGTGGGGTAATAAGGTGAACACAAAAATGTAATCAAATGTACACATCAACACACACTGACCATTCGGCAGTCCAGCTTATTTGCTTTTTATTAATAATATAATTTCTCTGAAAACAAATTAGTTTAACATCGCTTTAACATATGGGGGTGGTCTTGTACAGTTACATGAACTTTGGTGTCATTTAAAAAGTGCCTGTTCCCTATTATCACTTTATCTTTTCCATTTTATTACCCCACTGTAGTTACTCCTTCACAACCACAGTTACATTGTTCATTCCCAGTTTAGTGTCGTCTGGGCAGCAACATTAATTCCTGGAGCAGTTTTTTCCCCTCGTGAAATATTGTGGAGGTCAGCTGTGTGGCAGGCAGGAGTTGGACCCAAAAATAAGAAATATATTTAAAAGCAGCTTTATTGCTTCACTTTTACCAAAGCACAACATAATATCAGATCAGAAACCAAAACTAACTGGGAGACACAGCTATGAGGTAGAACATGGAAAGGACGAGGGAACAAACTGAAGAGAGAGCAGCTGAAACTAACTACAGGTGGTGAGAGAGGGGAAGTAGAGCTAAATACAAAGCACAAAAACTGTAGACCACCAAAATAAAACACGACAAAACAAAATAAAAACGCAGAGTTGATACAACAGGAAGGTAAACAAACACAGAACTGACTTGACAAGAGGGTACAGGGAACAAAGGGGAGGTATGATATCAGGAACAAGAGACATAAAAAGCAAACTAAACCAACTTTGGGGAAAAAACTAAGAAGACTTGAGAATAGAAATACTAAACAAAGTTGAAATTAAACAGGATATTTGGAGTAGAAGACTAGACACAAAAGAATTGAAAGTATAATTCAAATCAAATCCTGGAACACCTCACGTCTCAAACTCAGAATATTAAATAAGAATTAAAAAGTCCAAACATAGAAAACACATTTGTCAAAAACCCAGAATAATGACAAATATGTTTTATCTTCTATTTTAAAATGGAAGCCATCAGCAGCAAATATTGAAATAAAAGCATTAAAACTATTTAAAACCCAGTGTTGGAGTTCTGATACTGACACTATTAAGCTGTCAGTATTAAGTACAGTGGAACCCCGACTTAAGAAATTAATTCGTTCCCGAGGGTCTTTCGTAATTCGAAAATTTTTGTAAGTCGAAGCACCCATCGCGCCTTTTGAGTGAACGATAGTCTATAGGCTATTTGCTAACTGCAACAACAATACGTAGTTCAAGTGGAACAGCAAAGCCAAGTACAAAAGCCAAGGGGGTTGTTGCATGATTCGGAAGGCATTGTGGGCTCAGCCAATCAGAGCCAGCAGATTTCGTTACGCGGGCATTTTGCCGTAACATGGGCAGAAATATTGCCGTAACTTGAATTTTTCATTAAATGGGGTATTCGTAAGTCGGGGTTCCACTCTATAAAGTCAAAGTTCCATACTTTTTCATCTACTGTTAACTTAAATATTTCAGTCTGACACTGACTGACAGTCAGACATTAGTGTTAGGATATATGTTGTCAAATTGGGGTGGCTGTGGCTCAGGAGGTACAGCAGCTCATCGAAAAATTGGAAGGGTGGTGGTTTGATTCTTGGCTGCTCCAGTCTGCATGCCAAGGTGTCCTTGGGGAAGATACATATGTGTTTTCATGGAAAGTTGTCATTGATGTGTTCTGTTCATTAAAAAAGCCAAGAACAGTTCAAAGCTTATTAACCGAATCCAAAGACTGTCTACATCATTCCTGCAGCTTGTCATCCATCTTAAATTGCTTTGGGTGTTTATTGTTGATTAATTTTATTAAAAAATTATTTAAATAAACTTTAATTTAAATGCATAAGACCCAGTTTCATGGTCTGACTGCATTCAGCTGACACTGAGCTGAAGCAGAAAAGAAGCAGCTGATGGAAATGAGGATTTCAGTTGATGTGCACATGAATGATTTGTGTTTCCTCTGCAGGTGAAGGTAGAAAGTGTGTGTGAGCTGATGTGGATGTGAATTCAGCAACATGGATCAGTGTGAGGACAGAGAGGAGGGAGTCCCTCCCTCTAAAACCACTCTGTGTGGGGAACATGAGAGCCAGACCAAAGCTCAGAGGTGAGATGACCATCTCTAACTGTCCAGGACTCTTCTCCATGTCACAGCTCAGCACTCACATCACTGCTTCATCATTATTCACAGGAAAAGACGTAAACGTAAACGTGGGAAAAAACATAAAAATGGACAAGGACCTGAACCCAGCTGTGTTTCCTTACAAAGTGATGTGTCAAAGGAATTTAATCCTGATTTTAAAGAAAATCCTTCTTCTACAGAAAGGTAATCTGTCTCGAAATGTTGCAACTCAGTTATTCTAAACAAATTTTCCAACATATTTGATGTCAGCTCATCTTTTTTTTCACACACAGTTCTATGTTCGTGTGTGAAGCTGTGTGGGTTTGTGTTTTGTTTTTTTTTTAATTTGAAAAATGAATTTTTCTAGGATGTTGCTGTAGTGAAGATGCTAAGTGTCGTTTCGACAAACAGTATTAACACATCTGACCTAAAATCCCACAAAAAAAAAACAAAATGCACAAACGTGCAGCCAATGCCTCAAGTGCTTTTTGTACAACTATTTAAAATTGCAAAAAAATCTGATGTCATGTTTTTTGTTTGTTTTTGTTTGTTGTTTTTTTGGGGGGGCGGGGGGTTGCTGGCAAGCACTTTCAACTTGTGAGCAGTTTTCTTCAAAAAACATGTTTTTACTGTTTCTTCCTGCACTAGCAAACACTGCAGTATTCAGGAAAATTTAGTATAACTCTGGTTTTACTTGGCCTATTAACACAGGTTTAAAATTGTAGTAGACTCCTGAAGGTTGAACTGAAGGTCAGCACTCCCATCACTGCTCCATGATTATTCACAGAAAGAAATCTAGAAGAAGACAAAAACGTAAACAGAAAATTAAACCTGAACTCAGCAGTGTATCAATAAAGCAGCAGGTTTGTGAAATGTAATGGATAATGTGTCTCTAAACAAGACTATGTTCATCTAAGTTAAAATGATTCTGTGTTTGATATATAGAAAATGTACTTATAATGTAATCATGTTTTTGTTTCGCTTTTTCCATCAGGAGCTTTGAAAGATTAGACTGTCCTGTACCTAGCTGTGTATCCTTGAGCAGTGAAAAGTCAAAGGAGTTATATGGTGTTAATTTCAACACAGAGCAACAGTCTGCCTCAGAGAGGTAATGTGTACCTAAAATTTGGAACTGAGTTGGAACAGTTTTTTTCTGTTATGTGAACTAATTTTTCCATGATTCCTCCACAGAGTGGACCAGGAGAGTTTAGAAGTTCTCAGTGATCAGTCTTCCCAGCAGCAAGAAAGGAATCTGGACTCAATATTTATGGTTTGTACATGTACAAGAAGTACTTTTATATCTGTTCTGTTCACAGACATCGCCATTCTGCAGTTGGAAGAGCAGTATATCATGCTGGTTAACATTTTTTCAAAGGATAAAATAGAGTAATTTTCATATTTTGTATTCAGCACATTTCATTTAATTAAAAAAATATTAAAAAGTAGTATGTTTGCCACAATTATTTGATTGATTGTTTTATTTTACTTTGTGCCATTTACTGGCTGATGGAAAGTTTGCACTGTCCACTTTTTTTTTTTTGTTGTTATTTTGACGACTCCCAACTGAATGCACTATGCAGAAGTAATGACTGCTATTATAATCTGGAGGCTCCTAGTTTTCTTGTTAATTGGAAGGTCAGGTCCAGGGTCAAAGTACAGGCTTTTAATTTGATCGCATTTCATGCTTGTTACAACTCCATATGACACAAACACAATTTAATCAAAATTAGAACTGATTACGATGAGCAAACATCCTAAAATTAGCATGTACATCCACTGGCACAATTTTTGACAAAGTAAAATGTAGGGAAAAAAGTTAGTTGGGTAAAAATAAAAGTGCTTTTTTTTTTTTTTTTAGTTATTTCTGGTTTTTGTTTTCAACATGACCGAGTAGCAAATCAGCAACTCTACAGCAAGGCAAAAAAAACATGGACAAAGCACTTTTTTAAAATTCTCTTCCAGCTCCTAGAGGACAACATTTTCAGCTTTGTGAAGAATGAGATCAAGAAAACCAAGAAGATTCTCAGCCCAGATTACTCAGATGGCTTAGAGAGTCAGGGGGAGGATGAGGTGGTTTTGGAAAGTGAGGATGAAGAAGAGCAGAAGAGGAGCATGAGAGATGCAGTTGTGAAGATCATTCTGCACTTCCTGAGGAAAATGAAGCAGGGAGAACTGGCAGACCGTCTGCAGAACAGTAAGAGGATTTCTCTAAAGATTTAAAACAGTGGTTAAATGATATGAAATTTATAGATTTACATTTCCTTAATTCTCAGCCTGAAAGGTTTTGTGAAGTTCATGATCCTGAAGAATATATTTTTTGTGTGTTCTTTGAGAATTTCCCACCCTGTGCCCACATAAACTTAAATCTACACTGAAGAAGAAGCTCTGCACTGTTTTTGAGGGAATTCCTAAAGCAGGAAACCCAACCCCTCTGAATCAGATCTACACAGAGCTCCATATCACAGAGGGAGGGACAGCAGATGTCAATAATGAACATGAGGTCAGACAAATAGCAACCAGGAAACCAGACAGACCAGAAAAAATAATCAGACAAGAAGACCTCTTTAAAATCTCACCTGGAAGAAATAAACCAATCAGAACAGTGCTGACAGAGGGAGTGGCTGGCATTGGGAAAACACTGTTGACACAGAAGTTCACTCTAGACTGGGCTGAAGACAAAGCCAACCAAGACATTCAGTTCATATTTCCATTCAGTTTCAGAGAGCTGAATGTGCTGAAAGAGAAAAGGTTCAGCTTGGTAGAACTCGTTCATCACTTCTTTACTGAAACCAAAGAAGCAGGAATCTGCAGCTTTGAAGATGTCCGGGTTGTTTTCATCTTTGATGGTCTGGATGAGTGTCGACTTCCTCTGGACTTCCACAACACTGAGATCATAACTGACCCTACACTATCCACCTCAGTGGATATGATACTGACAAACCTCATCAAGGGCAACCTGCTCCCATCTGCTCACCTCTGGATAACCACACGACCTGCAGCAGCAAATCAGATCCCTCCTAGCTGTGTTGACATGGTGACAGAGGTGATAGGATTCACTGATCAACAGAAGGAGGAGTATTTCATGAACAGATTTAGAGATATGAAGTTGACTAGCAAAATAATCTCCCATATCAAGACATCACGAAGCCTCCACATCATGTGCCACATCCCAGTCTTCTGCTGGATCACTGCTACAGTTCTGGAGGATGTGCTGAAAACCAGAGAGAGAGGACAGCTGCCCAAGACCCTGACTGAGATGTACATCCACTTTCTGGTGGTTCAGGTCAAAGTAAAGAAGGTCAAGTATGATCGAGGAACTGAGACAGATCCACACTGGAGTCCAGGGAGCAGGAAGATGATTGAGTCTCTGGGCAAACTGGCTTTTGACCAACTGCAGAAAGGAAACCTGATTTTCTATGAATCAGACCTGACAGAGAGCAACATTGATATAAAAGCTGCCTCAGTGTACTCAGGAGTGTTCACAGAGATCTTTAAAGAGGAGAGAGGACTGTACCAGGACAAAGTGTACTGCTTTGTTCATCTAAGTGTTCAGGAGTTTCTGGCTGCTCTTCATGTCCATCTGACCTTCGTCAACTCCGGAGTCAATCTGCTCAAAGAACAAGAAACAGCTTATCAGAACTCTGAAACAAGAAAATCTGCAGAGACTCATTTGTACAAGAGTGCTGTGGATAAGGCGTTGCAGACTTTAAATGGACACCTAGACTTGTTCCTTCGTTTTCTCTTGGGTTTTTCACTACAGACAAATCAGAATCTCCTACGAGGCCTACTTACACAGACAGGGAGTTGCTCACAGACCAATCAGGAAACAGTCCAGCATATCAAGAAGAAGCTCAGTAAGAATTTGTCTGCAGAGAAAAGCATCAATCTGTTTCACTGTTTAAATGAACTGAATGATCATTCTCTAGTTGAGGAGATCCAACAGTCCCTGAGATCAGGAAGTCTCTCCACTGATAAACTGTCTCCTGCTCAGTGGTCAGCTCTTGTCTTCATCTTACTGTCATCAGAAAAAGATCTGGATATGTTTGACCTGAAGAAATACTCTGCTTCAGAGGAAGCTCTTTTGAAGCTGCTGCCAGTAGTTAAAGCTTCCAGTAAAGCTCTGTAAGTTATAATAAGTTTTATTCTTGAAAAATTCTGCTATCGCTTTAACAGAGAATAAAAATATTATACTTTGCTATTGTCCCATCAGATTGAGCAGCTGTAACCTCTCAGAGAGAAGCTGTGAAGCTCTCTCCTCGGTTTGCAGTTTCCAGTCTTCTAATCTGAGAGAGCTGGACCTGAGTAACAATGATTTGAAAGACTTGGGAGTGAAAATATTGTCTTCCGGACTGGGAAGTCTACATTTGACACTGGAAACGCTCAGGTCAGATTTCTACAAATCATTTAAAATCTGGTTTGTATTTGTAACCATGTGTAAACTGTAATTAGTTGACCTTACGAAATATATATATTCAAACCTTAAAAAAAGGAAAGCAAAGCAAAACCCCAAACCCTGCAAACAAACAAGTGGAAATTTAGTAGGTTTTAGTAAGAATGGATTTTATTGTGTAGTTCACTCACACCTAAGTTTAAATTGTACATATTTATGTCATATGCACACTTAAATTAGTAAAGACTACTCAGAAGTATTATTATTATTAATAATAATAATAAAAATCATTATTAATAATACAACTAATGTTAAAGTTCTTGCAACATATGATTTTTTAGTTGCTTTCATTTGAACAAGAGTCTCATTTATGCATTCAAATCATACAAACTGATCACCTCATTAAAGCAAGTGTTACTCATGTTATTCAAATGCTTCTGGACTCCACAGATAAATGAAAAACAGATTCCATTCTCCTACAATAGTTACATATATAGTTACATTAAAAAAACAGAGGACAAAATGCAGTTCAAAGTACAGTTGTATTCACATTTTCCATTCCTCATTTCTAAAAAAGTCACACTATTCATCTGAAAATAAAATTAGCATCAGTGGAGGTTTTAGTAGAAAAATATTCAGGAGGCCCAAATTTCAGAAAACAGGTTTATTCTGCACAAGTTGCCATTGCTTACATATTAGAAGTGACAAAGCATTTTTTATGTGTGATGATTTACACTCAACAAAAATATAAACGCAACACCTTTGTTACTGCTCCCATTCCCCATGGGATGGACGTAGAGACCTAAAATTCATTCCAGATACACAATATAACCATCTCTCCCAAACAGTGGTCACAAATCAGTCCAAATGTGTGGTAGTGGGCACATCTGCTATATTGAGATAATCCATCCCACCTCACAGGTGTGCCACATCAGGATGCTGATCTGACATCATGAGTAGTGCACAGGTGTACCTCAGACTGCCCACAACAAAAGGCCACCCTGGAATGTGCAGTTTTGTCTCACAGCAAAATGCCACAGATGCCACAAGCAATGAGGGAGCGTGCAATTGGCATGCTGACAGCAGGAATGTCAACCAGATCTGTCGCCCGTGCATTGAACGTTCATTTCTCAACCATAAGCCGTCTCCACAGGCGTTTCAGAGAATATGGCAGCACATCCAACCGGCCTCACAACCGCAGACCTTGTGGAACCACACCAGCCCAGGACCTCCACATCCAGCAGGTTCACCTCCAAGATCGTCTGAGACCAGCCACCCAGACAGCTGCTGGAACAATTGGTTTGCACAACCAAACAATTTCTGCACAAACTGTCAGAAACTCAGGGACGCTCAACTGCATGCCCGTCGTCCTCATCGGGGTCTTGACCTGACTCCAGCTCGTCGCCGTAACAGACTTGTGTGGGCAAATGCTCACATTCGATGGAGTCTGGCACGTTGGAGAGGTGTGCGCTTCACGGATGAATCATGGTTCACATTGTTCAGGGCAGATGGCAGCTGAGAATGTCCCAGTTCTTGCATGGCCAGCATACTCACCGGACATGTCACCCATTGAGCATGTTCGGGATGTGCTTGACCGGCGTATACGACAGCGTGTACCAGTTCCCACGAATATCCAACAACCTCGCACAGCCATTGAAGTGGAGTGGACCAACATTCCACAGGCCACAATTGACAATCTGATAGACTCCATGCGACGATGTGTTGCACTGCATGAGGCAAATGGTGGTCACACCAGATACTGACCGGTTCTGGGTCCCCAGACCCCCAATAGCGCAAAAAACTGCACATTCCAGGGTGGCCTTTTGTTGTGGGCAGTCTGAGGTACACCTGTGCATTACTCATGATGTCAGATCAGCATCCTGATGTGGCACACCTGTGAGGTGGGATGGATTATCTCAATATAGCAGATGTGCCCACTACCACACATTTGGACTGATTTGTGACCACTGTTTGGGAGAGATGGTTATATTGTGTATCTGGAATGAATTTTAGGTCTCTACGTCCATCCCATGGGGAATGGGAGCAAAAACAAAAGTGTTGCGTTTATATTTTTGTTCAGTGTAGAACCATATCTGCAGATATATATTTAGTTACATTCAGACTCTAAAAACTTTGAGTTCTCAAACTTTGCAGATTTAGTAGAAGTCTCTTAGTTTCTGTTCCAAGCCATGCATCAGCCTTTGAATGAATTTAAATGCATTTCATTGCTTTAGGCTACACCATGTGTAAATCATTAACAGTTGAAATAAGAGGTAAAGTAATTGATGAAGTTTCTGAAGGCAGTCCATTAAAATACCTCTTTCAGAAATGACATTAGTAGACTCTGAATCAAGACGGAGGGGATTTGGAAGGAGAGCAATAGTTTCCTCATTGACAGCGCCCCCAACAAACCCCATTAGTGCCAGAAGCCTGTTTGGAAGTAAGCAAAAGCAACAGATGATCAGTTATTAGCAACTTCACAGAAACCATATTAATACTATCCATCCTCTTCCATTAATTTGAGAGGTGGGGTACACCCTGAACAGGTAATCAGTCTGACAGACAACCATTCACAGTCACAGCTATGGGCGTTTTAGAATCACAAGTTATCCTAATCTCACTGCGGGAATACCTGAAGAGAAAATGCAAACTCCCAGGCCAGATGGTGGAGTGAAACTCAGGATACTCTTACTGTGAGGCAAAAGTGCTAACCACCACACCACTGTGCTTCCCTGTTTATACATTTTTTTTAAATCACCTTGAAATTCTTCTTTTTTTTTAAAAGGGGTGTTTAAAAATAATTAAAGACTAAGGTAAATGTTATGATTTCATACTGTTGACCTTTTCCCTTTTTATCCAGTAACTGAGATAGACTAAAACATCCATTGCTCAAGATGAATGGAGTCAGCTGTGATATGGCGCTTGCTCATTGGGAAAGATCCTCCCCAGCATTTCTCTCTGATTAGAAGTTAGTCTGCAGCCACTGTGCATCTTGTCCTAAACTCGCATATATACAATTAGCATTAATCTCTATTAAACTCTAAATAAGCCACATGCAAATCCAAAACAAATTCGCCAGAACTCCATGTGATCAATAAGATCTCACTTTAGTTAAAACATGTTCTAGTTGTCCAAGGAAAACTGGTGACAATTCTGGTCTGTCCCCTACTTTATACTTTATTAATCAGCCTCACCCCTTTTTTTTTTTTAATTAATTAATTTATTTTATTTTTTTATTTTGGAGACAACTTAATCTTTGCATTAATTGTACCATTTTTCTCTAAGAGCATGCATCTGTTATGTATGATCTCTACAGGCTGTCTGGCTGTCTGATTACACAAGTAGGTTGTACTTCTCTGGCCTCAAGTCTGAGCTCTAGCTGCTCCTATCTGAAAGAGCTGGACCTGAGCTACAATCATCCAGGAGGGGCAGTCAAGCTGCTGCAGAATCTGGAACTGAAAACTCTCAGGTATGGAGAGACTTGTGCAGCCATGGAGTATGAAGGGGTATTAGGGCTAGATCAAGTAAACAAATGGTATTGATCATTCTGACAATAAAGTCGATATTTCAAGATTAAAATCAAAACACTATTTTGAGAAAAAAGTCAAAATCTAGACATTACAGTTGTTCTTTCAAGACAAACTGCCACGTTTGCTATACCCTCTGCAAAACTCCTTGTGCTAGTGGAAAAAGTAAGTTAATTAAATGAATGTATCAGCCTGATCTTCTGATACAACATGCACCCTCTTTATTGCACGAGGGTGTAACTATTGGTATCCTTGCATGTCTCTATTGCCAACCATTTCATTTTGTTCAAATCTGACCAACTCTTCCAAGTTTTAGTGGGGGTTTTTTCTTCTGAGACTCAGCTTTCTGCACCATCTTTTTAGTGTACTTGTACTTATTACCACACTGTGTTTATGTGCTAAAATAGAAATAATTTCCTTATAACTACAACCGATTCTGAAGTACAATGTCACTTGCTGGTTGAGAAACTGGTTGTAAAATCTAACCTGGTTGTGAGTGTAGGGGAAATGTGGGGAAGGGTGTCAGGACTTTCACTGGAAGCTAAGGTACAAAGTGGAAAAAGAGGGAACAAGTTGCGTAAGCATTAACTGCAGTGTCTAATCCGTTGAAGAACAAATTAGACTCAATGACTTTGTCCTCCAACACTGTTGGATGGCCTCAATCTAGTGATTCATGCCACACCATACCTCTCTCATGCTGTTCTGCTCGGCCTGACTCCAGGCCTGATGGAGGAATTGAACTCAGGAACTTCTCGCTGTGAGGCAACAATGCTAACCACTGGGACAATGGAGTCAATGCAGAAGGTTATGTAGTCAGTGATACACTCAGTAAGCCCATTGGTGTCCTCACCATGAGGTTCACAGAGTGTCTCCCACTCTGTCACCTCAAAACAGCCACTAAGGCCTCCTTTGACCACCTCCTAATACTCCTAATGGTCACAGGCTTCCTCTTCACAATAGGCACATAGCAGAGGCTATGGAATGGTGGACCCAAAGTGCAGACTCCAGGATGTGAAAAAGTGCACTCAAACAGTTTTATTGCTGGACATCAAAATAACTAAACTGAACTTAAAAATAAACTATGCAGGCTGGCTGACAGACAAAACACACAGTGCAGAATGAGGAACAACACAATGATGAGCAGGTTAAGACGTAGACACTAAATACAAGAGGTGAATAGGACCAAGAGGAAACAGCTGGGAGACACGGCTGACACCGATTACATAGATAAGCTGGAGGAGCACGTAAAACTGAAAACACTGACATAAAACACAGACCTTCAAAGTAAAACAGGAAACTCAACACACATGCAGAGACACAGACTCAGAACTGACCAAACAGGAACAGAGGGAGTACAGAACCAAAACCTATCTAGAAAATCTTTAACAGAAGACTTAAACAGAATAAACAAGAACATAAGATAATATTAACAAAAACACTGAGTCATCAGACTCAGGACCATGACAAAGAGCATGTTCACAAGTGTAAGGACAGGGGTGCAGAAGAATAACAAAAGGATTGGTGCTGCGGCTGCAGTGATCTGGACTCTGTACCGGTCCATCATGGTGAAGAGAGGGCTGAGCATTAAAGCAAAGCTCTGGATTTACCGGTCAGTCTATGTCCCTACCCTCAAATACCATCACGAGCTGTGGGTAGTGACCCAAAGAATGAGATCACAGATATGGGCAGTGGAAATAAGCTTTCTTTGAAGGGTGGCTTGCCTCTCCCTTAGAGATAGAGTGAGGACTTTTGCTATTCGGGAGGGACTCAGAGTAGAGCCATTAAGCCTCCTCATTGAAAGGAGCTCATTGAGGTGGTTAGGGCATCTGACAAGGATTCCTCCTGGGTGAGGTGTTCTGGCCATGTCACACCAGTAGGAGAAAAATGTGGACTGTTGCTGTAGGAGTTTCCTCTCTAGAGTGAAACATTTTGGTAGGAGACCTTTTGAATTAATTAGTGAATATGTTTTACAATGGAAGATGATAGGACAGGATTTTAGGGACATTTTCTTCAAGTGTATGTATTAAATGTATGTGTATGAGAGCGATGTAATGTCCATGTGTGCATGCTGAAAGAGACTGTGCTGGTCTGACCCCCCCTCCTCCTTTCAGGGTGGAGCCTGCTGGAGTCCGATGGCTGACACCAGGTCTGAGGAAGTGTAAGTGTGTTTTTAATGTGATTCATGAAAACAAAGCAGCACACATTCAACCATCTTCAAACTGTCACATCACTCATTCACATCTCTGATGTCAGGAGTCATCATCAAAGTGTCAATCAATGAACAGATGATGGATCAATAACTGCAGCTGGATTGTGTTTGTTTCTCCATCAGATTCCTGTCAACTCACAATCGACACAAACACAGTGAACACAAAACTCAAACTGTCTGACAACAACAGGAAGGTGACACGTGTGGAGGAGGATCAGTCATATCCTGATCATCCAGACAGATTTGATTACCAGTATCCTCAGCTATTATGTAAAGATGAGCTGACTGGTCGCTGTTACTGGGAGGTCGAATGGAGAGAACTGGTTAATATATCAGTGAGTTACAGAGGAATCGTAAGGAAAGGAGACAGTAATGACTGTTTGTTTGGAAGGAATGATCAATCCTGGAGTCTGAGCTGCTCTCATGATTATGGATACAGTGTTTATCAGAATAAGGAAAACACATCCATCTCCTCCTCTTCCTCTTCATCCTTCATCTCTAACAGAGTAGCAGTGTATGTGGACTGTCCTGCTGGCACTCTGTCCTTCTACAGAGTCTCCTCTGACACTCTGATCCACCTCCACACCTTCAACACCACATTCACTGAACCTCTTTATGCTGGATTTGGGTTATGGTTTGGTCAGTCTGGTGCTTCAGTGACTCTGTGCTGAGTTGAGTGTAAAGAGTTTCCTCCTGTTAGAGAAACACTCTGACTGTTGAAGAGATAGTTCAGTCTGTACATGTCTGTCTCTTTCACTCAGAAACACATTTTCAGATTTGTGCATTCAATCAGTTATTGTTTAAACTGTACTAAATGATTCCTTTTAAAGTTCCTCTTCAGTCCTTCAAAGATGGAAGCTTCCAGGATCCACGTGTTGTTTTTCTTTTTCCACTCAAAGCTGCACAGTGAATATCAGTATGCTGTTTTTCTTTTAAGCTCAGGTGAGATGATTCAGTTCATTTTAGTTGCAGTTAGTTTGTTGCAAATGAGACAAACTGTGATATCAGAGAGGAGTCACTGAGCTTACCCAAAAGATCAATTTACTGTTCAGATATTCACACATTAGTCTCCAATGGATACAAATTTTATGAGCAGCCAGGGTTCATTGTGATATGTGTTTTGTTTTTAGAATAATGAAATATAGCTGGACTTTAACTTCCTTGTGGTGGCATTAAGTGATCCCCTAAATGTATTAGTTCCCAACATTATTCATTGTTGAATCACTATTTTGTGTTGGTGGATGCCAGTATTGTAGTTTTATTGTGAACCTGCTCAGTTTCCACAAAAAAAGTCTAATCGGCATATTACAGTGAGACTCAAGTTTGATCAGCAAATAAAATCTTTCTCCAATGTACATTCAAAGAACGATGAATTTTTAGTAAATGTTTAGTCCTCTTATTGAATGAGCATGACACTGCCTCTGAGAACCTAAAATTATGTTGGTGTGTCTAGACTTTTACATCGCTTTTTTGGTTGTGACCTTATTTAATTCCTTAACGCCTAGTGTATCATATTTGACACACACGATTTTGGTTAGTTTTTGAGGCTTCTTTGAGAATCCACAATGAGTAGGCCAGTGAGACACTGGTTTGATGTTTTACCAGTAAGGTGTTCCCACGAAGGAGTTGGCTGGAGCGACAATAGAGGCCGAGCCAAAGTCTCCCAGTTTGACCTGACCTG